TCCTTTCCACCCAGCCCCCACCTTCTAACCTCTCCTGGGGCAGACCCTACTTTCCGGTTTCCGTTAGAGCAAGAAGTAACGTTCCATTCAGGCAACGTCCTGCAGCTTGAGTAAGGTTGGGGGGTGGGGAAGGGAGTGGGGAAATAGCAAATGGCAGGGAACAGTTTGGACCACCAAGTCCTCCAACTGCAATGCATCGCCTGGGACTAGAGACACGTCCGCCCATGTGCACAACCCAAATTCTAAAGAGACGGTTTGCAAGACCTTTAAACTTCAAACCCATCGACCTCCAGCGGTTAAAGCCAAGTGGCTGGCGCGAGAGCGCGCCCAGGCTTCCTCCGCAAGTGCGCACGGGTGGAGCTGCCCACCGCCGGGAGCTAAACGCAGCAAAAGGCTGGGGGACTGCAGGGCAAACTCCAAGGGACCTGAGAGTGCGGCTGCTCCCCTCCGCGTTCCAACAGCCCGGTTCGGGCGGACGGACACAGCGGGGGGCCCCGCGAACACAATGGGGAGACCCGCGGACACAATGGGGAGACCCGCCAGTCCCGGCAGCTGTCCCGCCCCTGGCGCACGTGGACCTTGGGCACACGTGGCCTTGGACAACCCAGCGCTGCCAACCATCCTGCAAACCGCTCAAATCTCCGAACTGCCCTCGTGCTGGGTGTGCACGGCGGGCGGGGATGGCCCCAGGCCCGGACTTATCCCAAATGCACAAAACCTGGGGCTTGCCTAAACGGGAACCTCCCAGGACCGCCAGTAGTTGATAAGCAGCACTCCGTCCGCAGAGTCGGAGGGAGTCGGCCTGAGCCCAGCACCCGCCGCGCCCAAACCCTCGGGTTATTCCACCCAGCCCTCACCCGCACGCGGCGAGCGTCCATGCTGGCGGCCGGCGCCCAGGCCAGTGCTTGCAACGGGGAGAGCGGAGTAGCCACGCGCGCCGCGGTCCCACCGAGCAGTAGCAGCCCGAGCCGCGAGGCGGGCGGGCGGGCGGGGCGCCCAGACCCGGGCCGGGAGGGGCGGGGCTCCGGCCGGCTTTCCCGGGGCTGGGCGCAGGTCCTGCAAGCTGTGGTAACGGCTCGCCCGGGCTCATGACCTGCTCAGCCCCGGGAGAAAAAGAGCCTGCCAAAATAGTCTAAATGTAAGTGATAGCTTTGGAGGCGCGTAAAATCCGTCTTGAAAAAGTGGGCGTTTAGGGCTCCATGACTCTCTCTATACGTTGCTGCACGGTCCTGAGCGAATGGCGCGAAAGTGGTTCGTATTGCCCCAGGGATAGCAGACTGATTTGCATGAATTCCGGGGCTGGGCGAGCAACTGTGAAGATGAAGGTGATGGAGAGCGGCGCGAGAGTCTTGAAGGTCTCGGCGCTTAGCGCTTTAATTGCGGCGTGCGTTTTACATTATTAAAAGCAAAAAATCAAAGAATCAAGCACGAACTCCACCCTTTATTAGCCCAGTCATTGACCCTGGGTGTAGCACTTCTTATCTGGTAGCCACGCCATTATCTAAAGCAGTGAAGTGCGTCAAATCCTGATCTTTCTTAACAGAAAGCACGGAAAGCCGAGTTGTTATTTTACCTAAGACTTGAGGTTTTTAATTTAGATAAAAGGCGCGGCTGTTAACATTTATGAGGTAAAGTTTTAGAGATGATCTGTTGTGGAAAGGAGCTAAAGACTATTAATGTGATATGGCGATCCTTTCTCATGTCAGAATTTCGAATTATCTAAATCAGAATGAACGTGAGATGTTTTTCATTGCCCTTTGACTCAAATCTGACATTACGACGAAAAAAAGTGTGAGGCTTTTAAAGTTTTTGTAAAGACTGGGGAAAAAAAAAGAGTTGCTTTCAGAAGAAAAAGTAAAATAAACTGGGTTGTTTTAAAAGACCCTAATTATAATCTTACATTTAAAATAAGTGCTTGAAATGGAAACACTCGCATTTTCCTCCTTCAAAACTTCTCTCTGGAATAATTCCTTCGCAGTGTGAGAGCATGCGTGAACACACTGCGTTTCTCTTCGGGTGTATTGATTACAAAAACTTGTGAGCAAGTAATAATGCACAAGAACAATGGATTGGAAGAATTGGAAGACTTGGTCGGAGTCTTCCAGCCTTTCTAAGAACGACTGGCAATGGTCACTGTGCCACAGTGCACGGGACAAAGAACTCATGGTCTCGAAGGTGGGCACCAGCAGAGGCTATTGGCAAAATTCCTGGAAGTAGTGGGGCCCTCCACAAATATTTGTTGAGCAAATAAACAGCTATATGAATGGTGAATGAACTAAACTTGTAGTTCGTGCTCTGTCCTTTGGAATACAATCTTGTGCCACTAAAATTAAATATATGAGAATTTGAAATTGTGAAATGCATAAAGTAGGGGAATATTTAAGTCTGTGAAACGTTCTGAGAGGAAAATTTTTAATCTTCCTGGGGCACTAGAAAATAATTTGTTTTATATACCTCTTTAGGGATCAGATCTCTGGTCCATCAGTCTTTTAGTAATCAGGAAAATGCAAATTAAAACAAGGATATACAGTTTCACTCAGCCTGGCAAAAATTTTAAAGCCTGCTAAGACCAGGGATATAATGAAATTCCAGCAATGATGTTAGTGTAAATTTTTTACTTCAGAGATCAATTCAGGAATATTTAGTAAACCCCAACAAAACCATTTCCAGATACATACCCTATAACAATGTTTTTCACATGGCAGGTTAGAAACCCTTGGCAAATTGTGAAGTCAGTTTAGTAGTTGCAACTAGTATGTTTTCTTCTTTCTTTTTGAAATAGAATAAAAATATAAAAGTAGTAAGTGTGAGTATCATTTCCTGAAACATTTGTGTCATTTTTGTGTTTGTGTGTGTACTGTACAAAATGTGTATTTCATGTTGTGCTTCACCATCAACAAAGTTTTCAAAGTACTGTCCTGGAGAATGTGTTTTGTACTGATGCTCTCTCATTTATTCATTTAGTCGAGGATTGCCAAATGGTGATTATACCAGGCACCGTTCTGAGTACTGGGAACACAAAGGCCAGAGAGTTAACGTGCTAGTGGAGAAGCATAAGTAAACAACTAAGATCATTTCAGGTGTGATAACTTCTGAGAAGAAACATAAAAGCAGGATAAGAGGACAGGAAGTGAAAGAGGTGCCAATTTTAGATAAGAAAAACAGGAAAGGTTTCTCTGGGGAGTGTTCCTGTCAGGAACCCAAATAAAGTAAGGAAGGAGGATGAAGAATGTGCTAACTCCAAGCAGAGTGAATAGCTGCTTCAAAGGCTCTATGGCAGTAACCAGAAGAAGCCCAGAACACCGAATTATGGGAAGCTAGGGAGAGAGAGTTGGGGCAGATGACCTGGGGACTTCCTGGCCATAGGAAGAGTTTTAGATTTTATCCCAGGTATGATGGAAAGGATTTCGATTAAGGAAAGACCCAACCTGATCCCATGGGCTATGTGAACTATAAACCGAAAGGGAGCAAGAGTGGAAGCTGGAGACACTTTGGTGTCCCTGGAGGAGAAAATGATGGCTTGGACATGGGTAGTTGTAGGATAAGAAGTGGTCAGATTTAAGATAAATTATTTTGAAGGTAGAGCTAATCGGAACTGAGGGATGGATGGTTCATTCATAGCAGCATTGTGTATCACAGTAAAATATTGCAAACAATCTAAATGCCCCTCAGAAGGGAAATGGGTGTATGAATAGTGGTATATTCACACAATGGAATTTGAAGAGTAATTCAAATTAATGGCATAGCTTACTCTGTATCAGTGTAGATAAATCTTAACAATGTTGAATGAAAATGCAAATTGCAAATATTTCTGTAAGGTATATGCCTTATGCAAATTTTAAAAACACAAAACATACATAAGTTGTAAAAATATAAAAACATGGACGAGCACAATAGGATAGAGGTGAACTCTGAGGAGGGAAAGATGGAGGAAAGGAGAGTGTCGTATCTTTGACTCTATTCTTAATGCTTGCTTTTTAAATAAATGGTATGAAAAAAATAAAAATAAAAAAATAAAAGGTATGAAGCAATATGGCAAAGTGTTAAATATGTCGAATATGAGTGGTGCGTACATGAATTTCTTTTATATTTTTACTCTCCTGGGTTGTTTTCTTTTTGCATCTGAAACATTTTATAATAAATTCTTTTAAATTTTGTAACATTTGTTCTGTCAATCAAGATTATGTATATATATATTTACAGTGTTAAATATAGTTATAGGGTCCTATAAATGGGAACGCAAGTTTGTCTTGCAATTTTAGGTAATTTTAAGTCAAATATATACCCTATAACAAAGTTATCATATGTTAATCATACGCTAGTAAATATGTTCACTTTGAACGAAAGACACAAAATGAATATGAATGGAAATTCACTGTGCAGAGAATGATGGGGGCCCAGACCATAGCAACAGGTTAATAGGGAATGACACTTCATAAGCACATACTTGACATATACAGATAGTATTTGATATGAGGGCTGTAAATATAATGATACTCAGTTAATATTAGAATGATTATAGATAGAATTTTAAACATTCTAAAATACCAGCATTCTGTTAAAGAGCTTTGAATTCCTCAGGCTATTATGAACTTTAAGGATTGTCGTGTCTTGTCCTATAACTTTTATTCACCTTGCACAGAGAATTCTATTTCGTATGATTAAGTTTGAAACTTGACCCTGAGGTTCTGCGCACTCAGCACTTGTATAACAACTTGAAATCAAGATGATTGGTTTTAGAATAAAGAATGCAAAAATTAATAAGTAAGTGTGAGTATTGTTTCCTGAAACATTGGTGTCACTTTTGTGTGTTTGTGTGTGCTGTACAAAATGTGTATTTCATGTTGTGCTTCACCATCAACAGTTTTCAAGAATGTGTTTTGTACTGATGTTCTCTCATTTATTTACTCAATCAAGATTGCCAAATGGTGATTATACCCAATTTCATTCTAGGGACTGAAACTGATGTGTCATTTGTAGATGTCACTTAAAAAGAAAACTGACGTCCCATAGATGTGCTGCTCTAAGTCCCACATACCCTTCTTCTTTCTGTCAGGAAATGTAACATGAACTTAAGTAGCTCTGTAAACTAGTGACCTTCAAACAGACCTTACACAGCAGGAAACAAAGGGCTGGAAAGAGTTTTCATTGTGTTTGCGGATACAGACAGGTTGCAGTCTGTCAGGTCATAAATCTCTATTTTAAATAACCCCCTAATTATAGATTTACCACCCTAGTGCCCAATTTCAGGATGTACAAAAGCAAAAGAAACCTAAAGACCCTAAAGTTGCCCGCAGCTTCTCTGTGGGAGGGCCCAGTTCCTTGGCACCTTGGTTCAGCTTAGTGCACAAATCCAACCTCTCCAAACTACAGTGTTATGTTTGCTTTTGACCATATGTCAACACTGTTTTAAGTAGGTCAGTTTGCTACAGCTAATACCTGATTAGAGAAAGGAATATAGACACATGAATGTAAATGTGGCCGTTTTGAACAAGAGGAAATATTTGTTTTTTCCCCAGATAAGCATTGTTCCTTCCATACCATTTTTTTTTTTAATTTTATTTTTTTATGGGAGTGCAGATATCTCTTTGAGATAGAGATTTCCTTTGGATATGTACCCAGAAGTGAGATTGCTAGATCATACGGTAGTTCCATTTTTAATTTTTTCGAGGACTTTTTATATGCTTTCCATACCGGCTACACCAATTTATGTTCCCACCAACAACGCACAAGTGTTCTCTTTTCTCCACATCCTCACCAACACTTGTTATCTCTTGTCTTTTTGATCATAGCCATGTAATGATAACTTTAAAAAACACAATGCAAGGAGGGAAAAAGACAAGAAAAATACTTGGCAAAATGTTAGCAGAAATTTCTTCTGGAATGGGGGAGCTATCAGTGATTTCTCTTTTACTTTTCTGTTCTTTTCAAATCATCTAGAATGAATTTAGGAACCACAGGAAGAAAATACAAAAGAGTGGCTCCTTGTCCTTAAAATAACAAATAACAC